AATAAGCGTTGAAGAGAAGATGACTATATTTTTACATGTTATAGGACATAATGAACGTTTTCGAGCTGTTAAAGAAAGGTTTCACCACTCCATACAAACGATTCATCAATGTTTTCATGAAGTGCTAAAAGCAATGATGTGTTTTGCACGAGAAATTATTGTACCAACATCTTCTAATACAACAAGAAATACCTCGGAACGACATAGACGGCTAAAAAACATATTTCCTGGAGCATTAGGTGCACTAGATGGAACACTTGTACATGCAGTTGTGCTCGTTGATGAACAAACTCGCTATAGGGGAAGAGGAAAAGGTGAATGTTATCAAAATGTAATAGGAATTTGTGATTTTGATATGATATTCACCTTTGTATGGGATGGATGGGAGGGTGTAGCACACGATTCTAAAGTTTTGAAAGAAGTTGCATTTATACCGACTTCTGGATTTCCATTCCCTCCACGAGGTTTGTCATTTTTCTATAAGTTTTATTATCTATATTATTTATATGATTAATTTGTCACCCATCTACAGATAAATATTACATTTGTGATGCCGCATACACCAACACCCGTGGATTTATGGCTCCTTACCGCAATACTAGGTATTGGTTAGCCGATTTTCGAAGAAACAGAGATTTAACTAAGGAAGAAAGGTTCAATCATGCTCATGCACAACTTAGAAATATTATTGAACGTGCTTATGGTGTATTGAAGGCGAGATTTCCAATTTTAAAACGTATGGCTCCTTATCCTTTTCCATTGCAAAGAGACATAGTCATTGCCTGTGTCGCGGTCCATAATTTTATAAAGAAATACGATATTCAAGATGACCTATTTACGAACTTTGAACAAAACACTATGGTTACTCCTAATGTGGGAGGTGGGGGAAGTGAGGGCCAAAACATACAAGGCATAGAATGGGGTTCAGAAGCCGTTGAGTATAGGACTACTTTGCCTGACCAGATTGCTAATCAGTTACTTTCAAATGGTTCACGTTAAATGATATACTTTTTTATTATGTATGACAACGTGTATTTGGGTTTTGTATTACACTTTGTATTTGGATTTTAAATTATGTATGTTTATTTTGGATTTTATGTTCTAATTTTTATTTTTATAATTATTTTATCCAACACAAAAGGACAACATAAGGATAATATGGTCATTTTATCATTCAGCACAATCAGTCAGATAAATAATCAAACAACATAAATTCAGTCAGATGTGGACTCAGTCAGCATTTCTAACCCAGTCAGCTCTAACCTAATCAGCAACTATCAAACGACCCCTAAGTGTCACTTTGACTTCAGAACTTCAAAAGCATGTTCCACATCCTTACATGCTGATTTTTGTCTTCTCCCGAATAATTTTTTATTGGTTCCACTGGGTGTCATAATGTTTCACGAATGTGGAATACACAAGATATATTCTATCCGTAAGTAGGGCCGTCCCAAACATATATGGGGTCTGGTGTAAAATGTTTTATACCAAATTACATAAGATGATAGTCTGCCACACCAAACAAACATTTATTAGGTTTTTTGAACTAAGTTTATTTGTCTGTGAAAACAAAGCTAACGTAGGAGAAAAACATGTGGATAAGGGGAATTGAACGCGGGTTATATGCAAAGACTTACAAGCGCTTTGCCAATTTCACTAAAGGTGAATAATGAATATTGTTGATTTTTGCAACAACTCTATATATATTAAATATATAAATCGAAAATAACAGTTGGGGCCCAAATAGTTATTGGGCACTGAGCCATCCCCCAATTTGCCCTACCCATTGGGCCACCCTGTTCGTAAGGTAATACCCAAACTTATATTTGTTTTCATTCACTGTGAAAGGAGCACCCGGTGCTTTTCTTGACAAAAGATCGTTGAATATTTGTGCCTGATAAAAAACGTTGATGTTGTTGTTCGAACCCACAACCTCGAAATACGTATGTCAAATCCATAAATATTGGGAAGAAACAACCTCTAATACCAACGAAGGCACTCCATGTTGACCACTTGCATATGACCCTCTCCAAGCCGTTGGACAATTTCTTCATTTCTAGTGTGTGCAATCAATGCTTCCAAGTATACCGAAAAACCATGTCTTTCTTCATGTGTCGCATATAGTTGTTGCATATCATTCAACAAAGGTTTCCGCAAATAAACGTCACCGGATGTTTCAACAACACCTTTTGACAATCTGTACAAACTTTCTCTTGTAGTTCTTTTAGACATTCTCATATAATCGTCAATGGAATCAGGTGACTCCCTGTAAGCCATCAATCGAATTGTTGCAACACATTTTTCCAACCCTGTGAATCCCGGCCTACATCTAGCATCATATTTCAATTGGAAAAAACGATACCTAAACATATATTTAATAGGTAAAAATGTGTATTTATTTTATATAAAGATATATTTAATATGTATAAAAATGAAAGAAACGATACCTGCTTTCCAAGGCGTTGGCTATCTGTACAAACACATTCCTACTCAAATGAAACCTTTTTTTGAAATCCTTTGATAGGTAGACACAATTATCCGCAAAGTAATCAAGCGTTCATGTCCTTCATCGCAATTTATGTTTAACATCACATGTCTTGTTAGTATAAGGACTACATCTATTTCTAGTAGCTCATTTTTGTAATACACGTACATCATGGTGATGAACATATCATCATCGTCGGACGAGTTGAACGGATCCATAATTTTTTTTGAAGAGTATTTAAGTTGTATAAAATATAGAGAAAGAAAATAATGGTGTGAATAAAATTGGGTAAGATGGTATGTATTTATAGGTAAAAAATATTAATTACTTTTTTTTTTTAAAATTTGATCGTTGAACCGCCAAAAGGATTTGATTGGGTGAAATTGTCGTTGTGCTATGTTGTCATGGTAACGAGACTTGCCTTAATGAGATCCCAGTGTAGTGTTCTCTGCATTATAATGCCATTGTGGAGGCGCCACATCGACCCTCCACGACTTTTTTGGAACCCATTACACATCGTCTTAGTTTAATCTAACTCCAACATATACCTACCCCACTAAGTGGTGTTTTTTTTTGGAAACGGCTAAACTGTTTTATAAATAGGCAACACCTAGCAAGAAGCTAGATGAACCAACAACAGAAAAAGTACAAACCGATAAAAGGAAAAATGGAAGTGTATAAGTTACAGACAAGCAAAAAGGGACGTTCCCCAATCACACCACCTAATGACACCCATAGAACCCCTATGTTTCAGCCAAAGGAACACCAATGATTGTATGTCACCAGCTATTTTTGTTGGAGTTGGTTTCACCTGTTTAAATTTACGATCATTCTGAGCCTCCCATAAACCCCATAACATTCCATAACAGATAATCAAGAAGACCCTCCTTTTCTTATGAAAGTGACCCCAACTTGCTGCAAACTTTAGTAAATCTGTCATAGTACTCATTTCCCCGAGGGTTATGCCACACCACCTCATCACCCATTCTCTAACTCCCATTGCAAAATCACACTGGATGAATATATGATCTGCACAGTCAACAGAGTTCAAACAATACTCACAATTTGGATTGGTAACATTGACACCTCTAGCCAAAAGAGCTGCAGCAGAATGTATTTTTCCCCATTTTGCCCTCCAAATAAAACAATTTACTTTCAGAGGCACCTCCTTCATCCATTCGGTTTTAATACCTGGTACAAGAGGGATGGATTCATCTAGTTTCTTGCGGAGGGCCTCGACAATATATATACCATCTACCCCAAGGTTACATCGCCACTGAATGAACTGATGTCAGAGATCAGATGTGTCAGATTCCGATTCAAATGTGGCGCCATTGGGTCTGCTTTCCAATCCCACTCAATGCCATTGGTTTTAACTCGATCCATAACAGAACAATGCTTATTTGATTCGAGGTTATATAACTCAGGGTATTTTGATTTGAGCGTAACGTTACCCCACTAAACATCTTGCCATAAAAGAGTGCTTTGACCCGATCCCACTGTTTTTTTTAGAATGTCGTTGAAATTAATTCCTGACTTCTGAAGAATGGATACTGTCCCAACGATATTTTTCCAGACACCATTAATGGTTGACCTCTTAATTTGGTCAGCAGCAGTGAATACCACTGATGACTCGACCCCAAAGAGATGAGTGAACTACTCTCAATCTCCACCACCACTTAACAATAAATGCAACATTGAGCGAACGGAGGGACCCTACACCCAATCCTCCTATGTCAGTTGAAGTGGTGTTTTTGTCATCTATATTGATAAACAAGACTTGTATTAAGACAGGTATGCTACCCCTCACATTTGTTCCGGATCCGTCATTGGTCCGGACCCACGTTCACCCTAGTTTACATAATAATATATATCTTTAAACACAATTCTTTTCTTTATAGATGCCGTAAGAACATCATTATCTCCTCCATTTTTTTAGTAATGTAATTTCCTCACAATACTGTTATTAAAAAAAAATTGGTGGACGACTTTTCAAACCATTGTATTTATTTATTTGTTTGTTGTAAACAAATCATCCTACCCGTAAAAAAACCAGCTTTTACAAAAACGATCCATTTTTGAACCAAAAAACGCCCAGTATGATGGTCAATTTTTGAACCAAAAAACGCCCAGTATGATGGTCATTTGTTTCATTTATATTTGTCTATTCAGCGACATGCAAAAACACTACTTTTTCAATAAGAAGCAATTTTATATGCAAAATATATGAGGTCAATTTTTGTTCTTTTGCATTTGGACTTCCACACTTTGTCCATAATCATTAATCATTTGTTCTTGTAAATTTTATAATTTCTTTCGAGTACTTTTATAAGAAAGATGATTAGTTTGCATCGAAAAAACAAATGACATTTTAAAGTGCATTCACCTATCTCTTTGATAATATCATCATCCTTTATTTAAAATTGTATTAGTAACGTATTCAATTAATAGTCTTTCCATAAAATATAAGCTCTCTCTCTCTCTCTCTCTCTCTCTCTCTCTCTCTCTCTCTCTCTCTCTCTCTCTCTCTCTCTCTCTCATTTTAATTTCTAGAAGCCCTCCCCTCCCTCCATCCGAAAGCTTCATGAGTATTCAACATATAGCAACCATGCTTTAGTTATGGATTTTTTCTATATCATCTTCAACTTTTTAGCTACTAGTCTCATACTAATCACCATAGCCTTTTCACTTCTCATCCTCAAAATCTTCATCGGAAAGTCAATCAGAAACCCAAAATACTCTCCTGTTGTCGGAACTGTATTTGGTCAACTCTTCTACTTCAATACCCTCCATGACTACCTAGCTGATATTGCCCGGAAACACCAAACTTTCCGGCTTCTTGCCCCTGATCAAAGCGAGTTATACACAACCGACGTTAGAAACATCGAATACATACTTAAAACCAATTTCGACAACTACACAAAAGGCCAGTATAATAAGGACATAATTACAGACTTGTTTGGCCATGGGATCTTCGCTGTTGATGGCGTTAGGTGGAAGCAGCAGAGGAAGCTTGCAAGTTTCGAGTTCTCGACTAGGATTTTAAGAGACTTCAGTTGTGCCGTTTTCAGAACCAACGCATCAAAACTAGTCAGGATCGTTTCTCAGTTTGCCATGGTCAACGAAGTCTTTGATATACACGTAAGTCAACTAGAAAATCCGATTCTTGAATATAACTTTAGAAAATGAAGTTGGTTTCTTGAATTATTGAACTTTTTTTTTAGAATTTGCTGATGAGAAGTGGCTTGGATTCCATTTTCAAAGTTGGGTTCGGAGTGGATCTGGATTGCCTAGAAGGATCTAATGAAGAAGGGAACTCATTTATCGATGCGTTTGATGATTCAAATGCTTTGACTTACTGGCGTTACGTAGATCCCTTATGGAAACTTAAGCGTTTTCTTAATATCGGGTGTGAAGCTTCTCTTAAGAAGAACATCAAATTGATCAATGATTTCGTTCTCAAGTTGATCAGCAGAAGACGAGAACAACTACAAACACAGAAACACCATGTAAATTGTTGTTGCTCTTGTATTTGATGAGTTAGTAAGGAATAAGGATTGTTCTTTTTTGAACACCTTATGGGATTTGAACTAGATATATAATTAAGCTGATTTTTTTTTTATGTAACATGTTGATTTCCAAGAATCACAAGGAGGACATACTTTCAAGATTTTTGATCGAAAGTGAGAAGGATTCAGACATGGATGATCGATATCTCATGGATATAATCCTAAATTTCATCCTAGCTGGAAAAGATTCTAGTGCGAATACACTTTCTTGGTTTTTCTACATGCTTTGCAAGAATCCAGCAATACAGGATAAAGTTGTATCAGAAATAGAAGAACATATCGGGTATCAATTAGAAAATGGGGATAATGTTGAAGATTTTGTGGAGCGGATTAACGATGAAATACTTGAGAAAATGCATTATCTCCATGCGGCTTTGTCCGAAACCTTGAGGCTATACCCTGGAGTGCCCGTGGTAATTACATCTTACTTAAAATTTTGAAATACTTTTTGCCTGTTAATCTTAAAAATGGAAGTCATGAATGATCTTTTGTGAAGGGATATCAAGCTAATAAAAAATAAATCATACTCCTGATAGAAAATTATCACATGCTTATTTAGGGCAAACATGAAGAGTCTTTCTAAATTTGAACATAAGTACAAATTTTATACATATTAAACTTAAAAATATAAAATTAGTGTTGTGGTCCCCTGTTCTATAATTTTTATACATATTATACTTTCGTCCCCTCAAATCAAAAGTTCAAGCTCCGCCAATGTATCGGCATCATATAAACTGAAAAAAAAAACCCGCAATTCAGTAATTAACTTGATATTATGAAAGTGGAAAGTTTCTTGATCATGTTTGGTTGTTTGCAAGGATGGAAGAGTTGCAGAATCAGATGACATTCTTCCTGATGGTTATGAGTTGAAAAAAGGCGATGGTGTGTACTATATATCGTATGCAATGGGAAGAATGCCTTACATTTGGGGAGATGATGCTGAAGATTTCAAGCCCGAAAGATGGCTTAATGATAATGGCATTTTCCAACCACAATCTCCTTTCAAATTCGTTGCATTTCATGTAAGTGTAGATGTTTTTGTAGGTTCTATACTAGAAAATGAGTAAAATAAGTTGTCACTGGGAATATCTAAATAATTGCTCGTGTTTGCAGGCTGGTCCTAGAATTTGTTTAGGGAGGGATTTCTCTTATCGTCAAATGAAAATAATGTCGATTGCTCTTATTCGGTTCTTTCAGTTCAAATTGTTTGATGAAACAAAAAGGGTGACTTATAAAACGATGTTTACATTGCACATTGATGGAGGCCTTCATCTCGTCGCACTTCCAAGAACATAATGTAAGTTCTTTGTTCATGGCCATTTGGACGTGAGATTTGAAAAACGATTATGTGATATTGAATAAGGATGAAAAATGTTTTTAAAAACGAATTTTTTACTCCTTTTAAAAAGTCAATACTTTTAAAGTCAACACAAACATTTTTTGGACTCAACAGGAGTACCAAATGCCATCGGCATCCTTGGCAAAGATTGTCGGCAACAAACAACACCCCTTGATACCATATGTTGTCGGCGGCATTGTGCCAACGGCAAGAATGTGCCGATAGTCTCTCTCTCTCTCTCTCAATTACATTTTTTTAAATTAAAAAAAAAGTTGGATGGTATGGATGACATCACATCCTACTCATAGACAAAAAATGATAAGAGTTGTAAAATCCTATGTGGCGCCTATATGTCACCAGAGGCAACAAACGGCAACATACTTTTTAGCAGCTCATATATTTGATATTGACATGATCTCTTTCAATCCAAGTGTTTAAGGGTTAAGTGTAATGGCATAACACAAACATTAGAGTTAGGGATGAAGCCAAAACATATAAACAAAAATATGTATAAATAGTTAATTTTGGCCGTGGTATATCGTATAACAAAACTTTATGCTTTTTGTATATTAAGGGTCTGTTTGGTTCGCAGAATGTTGCTGAAGGAATTGCATTTGGAATTGGGAAATGAATATGTTAGGAATTTGAATCCAATTCCATATCCTGTTTGTTTGGCAGGAAATGGAATTGGAATTAATTTCAGATTCTATTTGGTTCGCAGGAATTAGAATTGAAATCCATATATAATGACAAAATTGCCTTTTTTTTTTTTTTTTTTTTTTTTCTATTTTGCTTAATTTTACTTTCTTTTTGAATATCATTAACAAAAGGACTACAACAACATGCAAAACAACGTTCCATCATGTTAAAATCAATGAAGTTTGCCTTTGTCTACGATTGCGTGTTGTTAAACTAAGTTGGGACATTTTCCTGTAAAACAGAAAACCGGTATACATATTCCATTGATAGCAAACCAACAAAATGGCATATATTGATAGCAAAACAGCAAACACAGCAAAATACCATTGAAACCACAACATGTTTTCTGTTCTATCGATTTAGCGAGAAACAAGACATGCTTTCTTTGTTTAGTTTCTCATTGCAGCGATTTCACAGCTTCATAAAAAAAAATTCAAAAACACTAGAACATACAAGGAATCACAATCATGTCAAATTCCAAAATTAAATCAATTAACTTGATTAACTTCCCAATTCTATATCAGACAAACGAAATCAAAACAAGAAGGGAAAGAACATAGTTTCGATTTTTCTGAAATCGTGAAAAGGTGTAACATCCCAAAAATCACAATAAATTTAACTTTTCAAAAACAACCCATAACCATACATGTTTACAAAACCACTGTTTCAAAAGTTTAATTTAGTAATCAGAGTATATCTCAAAATCCAAACAAAATAAAACCAAAGGATGTGTATGATCACGCCTTTGCCTTGCCACGATCATCTGAAGTACCTGAAACAATAAACTGAAACTGTAAGTCAAAGATTAGTGAGTTCCCCCAAAGTACCAACACACAAACATATAACAACATGCACTGAGTCCACAACTAACTGATTGGATTACTCCTGAGCCCACAGTATGAGTCCGGCTTGCCTTTCAGGCCCACAGCTCATATCAGGCTTGCTCCCGAGCCCACAACATTAGTCTGGCTTGCCCTTCAGGCCCACAACTCATGTCTAGCTTGCTCCCGGGTTCGTTGGCTACCGCACAAAGCAGTACTACCTCAACCCAACCATACTATGTGGACCTATACATAACATATAACATATATCCGGGAACAGATAAAAATATAACCAGTCATCAGACAAACAAACAGATTTACAAATAACTACCGCATACTACATCCTATTTACCAGTATACTGATCTAACAGATCGCTATAACATATCGACATCCTGTATTTCGACCCACAAGTACAGTGAGGAAAATTCATCTCTGAGTCTGAACAAATAACTGAATAGGTCTCTACTCCGAATCTAAGCTCTACCCGTCACCTATTCATCAAATAGCGACCAACCTCAAATACAACTCAAAATACCCTTAGGTCAAACTTGGCAAATCCCGGTCAAAATCCAAAAAGTCAAAAAGTCAAACTTGGTTAACAGTGCTGTGTATGCCCAGTGTGCACAGCTTGACCAAAAGACGAGCTGGTTGACCTCGAACGCTAAGCGTTCCTGGGCTCGCCTAGCGTTCGCGAGGGGCTTCATTCCTTTCTATTTTAATATTGGAGAGAGAGAGAGAGAGAGAGAGAGAGATTTCCACTTAAAAATAAATGTTTGGACCTTTTTACCCTTAAGTTTAATACTGAAAAGTGAGAGAAAGATCCTTTATTTTAATATTGAGAGAGAGAGAGATATTTTGTCAAGACAAATGCGATTATTTTTATAAAATCCCACTGTTCGCTTTCTTTTATGAAAAAAAAAATTGTTTACTTATTTTTCCATTAAATGTGTCAGCATTTTTGTTCATAGAATTTTATTAAGAAAAAGTGTTGGCCATTTTTTTCCAAGTAAACAGAGGAAACAAAAAAATATTCAATTAAACCATTCTATTTTGTATTATATTGTATTTTATATGTTTTTTGACACATAATTTGTCATTACTGTAGTTTAACATATAATTTGTGTATAATGTGGAAATTAAAACCTTTTAGTTTAAACCCATTTCAAGAAAATGAAGTTAAAATGTATGTGTAGCAGGCAACGATTGAATACCAAATGTTGAGTCATGCCTATCACTTCCATGAGATGCCAAGGCACGCTGCGTAATAGAAGTGTAAAAGAATAATTAGACGATAAGTAACACAACTAGTTAGCAAGCATAGTAATTAGCAAGAAAACCATTGCTTGAAACGTGCATCCAAACTCCCTGCACCAGATAAAGGAATTGCACTAAAAAGAATTTTTCCAACCAAATTTAGTTGCACTTGGTTGGTTGTAAAAACAGATGTATGATATGCATACAACCAAATCTATTCATATAGCTCAATATAGTGTTGTGAAATGGCTGAATTGATTTTATAACAAATCAAATACAACTTTTCCTTGATGCATGACATCCCATTTAACCAAAATCTTACAACTATTTGACCTTGCCATTAGGTTATAATCACAATTCATTAGTAACCAAACCCCAATTTCATATAAGTACACAAATTTCAATTTTTTTTTCTTAAGTCCCACCCTTGAACCATGTTCACAATAGGACACAACAATTAAGCCTCATCTGTTATGCATGAGAAGATATGACACAACAGGTCGTAGTGTTGTACTGTGTTTGACATGTATTGGACTACAACTCATATTGATGTCAACCGACATAATTTGCAATTTTTGATTTTTGTCCCATCCAAAAAGGTCGCTCTCAATCTCATGTATGTGCAAAAAGACGTGAATGCCCTCCTCATAAGAATTTGATGAAAAGAGCTAATGGCTATCAGATTCTTCTTCTATTGTCAATTCGTGGTTTCTTAGAAGACCCGGCTTTTAAAGTCTCCGTATCCGATTCAATCTAAAAGAGATAAAAATATAAAAAAAAAAAAACTTCATCTGATAAATGGAGACAAAATTAGTAATTCACGACTCACCTTGTTAAGTTTTTCCCTGACCAATCGAACTGTCTGATTCATCGATTCTAATGGAAAATAATCCTGATATCATATTTCACAAATAATATTTGAGTCACCATTTTATCAGGGATATGGAATGTATATATGATAAACGACAAAAAATACCCTTCTTTTTTTGTAAGTATTTGTTTTGTTTTATAAACTGATAAAAATAAAGTAACCTACCATTTTGTCAAAAATATAAAAAAATAATTTGTAAAATCCCAATTTTTGACTAATGTTAAGGTGATTCAGAAAATTTTCATTCTTATTTTTCTAAAATTCAGAAAAATTAGAGATACTAAAAATGAGATAATATAAAATGTTTTAAACCTGATTAGACGAAACTGTTGAGGGAAGAGTTTGACTGTGAACAGTATGTTGAGCCTGTGGCTCCAGTGGGTCCCTGCAACAAGAACATATAATCCAGATTTGCCAATAGAGATAGGATAAAAACAATAAGATCTAGATTCAAACCTGTGTTGGATATTTAATGGCTGTGATATGAAATTAATATGAGATTGAGTTGTACTCAATTTAGGTTGACTAGAAGAAGCTGCACTCATATTCATAACACTAGAACCCTTGGATCTTCCAGCTGAAAAAACAGCAATAACAAACTATACAGGTAATTAAATCATCTAGAAAACAAAATCTTTGTAAATACAAAATGATATTATACAACACTTACGATTAAGTCTAGCTAGAACTTCTTTTCTTCTACCTTCCAACTTCTCTTTTGTGTCACTAAGGTTCTCATATTGAGGTGCATATGAGACTTGAATCCGATTTCCAATAAAAACTGATTCATCCAGCTTCCTTTTTGCAAATCTACAACAATATTTTGATCAACAATTCTAACATTCCACCAGATAGATAATCGATTACAGTGAAATAAGAAGTCAAATTGTTTGAAGCACCTAGCATTGTTGACCTGATGAAACTTAATCCAGTAAACATCAGTAAATGGCTCGCAATCTTCGTCGTCCAATGGTATGAATCTAGAAAAGAGAAATAAGAAGTCGAATTGAATCCCTAAAAGAAATAAAAAAACAACAATTAACATCATGGTTGAAGACACTTCCGAAAGAGGGAAAAAGATATCTTACTCGTCAATTTCACCATATCCTTCGAACAATTTCCGTAATTCATCACCACAACCTAATGCAGGAACATTCCTCACGATTAAATACCTATATCAAAATCACAAATCCGCAAATTGAGTTGTTTTAGGGCTCACATAATCAAATATAACAAATTAAACTTATATTTAGAAGAATCGACTAATTGAATTTGAATACGAACTTGGATTCGTCGCAAACCGTATAGACGCGTACCGCTGGTGGCTGGTCTTTGTCGCGCGCCATTTTCCTCCGATTGTGGACGACGGTGATTGTCTGTTGTGTGTGTGCTGATTAAAATGCCAAGAGAGTAATTATAAATTTGGTCCCTAGAGTTATATCAACTTACAGTTTTATTCTATGTATTTTATTTTGTGGAGATCATCCGTACGCAACTAAGGTTTTTTTTTTTTTTTTTTTTTTTTTTTTTTTTTAAATACACATCAATTTGTGTTTAAATGGTTGGATTTTACAATTCTATAAAACATAAATTATTATGTACGAAGAAAAAACCGTTATATACGAATCATTTTGGTTGAATACTAATCACTAGGCGAGACGCTTAAGAAGTTAGTAGACTAAAGACCCAATGCCATAAACAAAAAACAATTTGGTATCAATAGTAGCTATATATCTAGCATTAGATGATAGACAAAGAAAATGCAAAAAGAAACCAATAAATATCTTTTAATACAAATTGGTGATGAACACTTCAACGACTTTGCCAACTTTTAACTTGCTAAATGTGGTAAAGATATATCAACTCTTGCTTCTAAAAAAAAATATTGTTTCATCAGATCAACAATTCTAGGTGCTTCAAACAATTTGACTTTTTATTTCACTATAATCGATTATCTATCTGGTGGAATGTTAAAATTTTTTTATCAAAATATTGTTTGAGATTTGCAAAAAAAAAAAAAACATGAAATCGTAAATCGAAAGGTCATAATTGCCAAAAGAAAGAAAAGCAAATAGGTGAATTAAACAATTACGAAAAAAATTACTTAACAAGGTAATATATTTTCAATTTTATACATATTTACTAATTGATTTTTTTGTCAACGTTTGATCGTTTAACTTTTTTTTTTTTTTTTGTACACACCTTATAATTGGCTATTCAATGTTAAGCTGAGAAAAATGACTTAGAGGTTGTTTCATAGTTGATGACTAGTCAAGGCCTGACTGGATCTCAAGATCCGACAACATCTGTTGATTTATTATTTTTTAATACATAAATACACACTAGATTAGCGGAACTAAATAAACTAATTAATCTCTATGTGTACATGCACCGCACCTTAGGATCTAGGTTTTACTAATTATAGCAACATACTTTAAAATTATAAATCAAATAAAGAAATATATAATTACTAACCTATTGTGTAGCTCAATCTTGACCGTTTTGAACCCTCTTCAATCATTCTTGATCCAACCATGTTGCTTGGATGAGATGAGCCAATCGAGAATCCCTCTAATGGAATCACACTCAAGACTCCAAAGAGAGAACCAAAAGAAAATTAGGAGAGAATCAAATTTCTAGAAACCCTAAAAAAGGGTTAAGAAATTCGTCTCATAGAAAGGGAGGGAAGAAGTAGGCAATTTTTCAAGCTAATGTGCAAAAAATAGTGAAACCCTTAGCACCCTATTTATAACCTTAAAGCCTTCGCCAAGTTTCATCTCCCATCCCATGTGGGATGGAGATATAATTCAAAAATCACCTCCCATCCAATGTGGGATGGATATTTCGAAATCTTCTTACCTATTAAGGGTTCTAGAATATTCCAATTAGTCAATCTTTTAACTAATTAATATTCAACCCCTTAAATTAAATAGTTGCAAATTCCAAAATAGTTTATGATTAATTTATTAAACATAATAAATTAATAAACTTATTTTCACCTTAATTCTATTTTAATGTCTCATTTGTGCCATGTGGGCAACCCAAAGGACCATGTTATTATTTTGAAATATTATCAATTGTTAATGACATTGGACACTATTTCAATCAATCTGTCACTTGGACAAGTCATCAATTATACAAGGTCCAATACTTCTCAAATAATCAACAAACAGTTAGTCATCCAATGCAAATGTTGAACTCTAAATTAATTGGGATTCAAAGTTAGTCATCCAATGCAACTGTCGAACTCTGAATTAATCAGGATTCAACCCTTAGATAAGTAATAAGTTATTCCTTTGTTCTAGATATTCGTATGAACATGAGACATGGCTAAACATGTCAAAAAGAAGATAATATTTTTTGCATGTTCCTTGTTTGGTTGTGGCTTTAGAGTAGGATCATCTATTCGGGTGGCTATCTCACCTCTTGTTACTTATGGTTACGCATTTCATGGAGGTTAGCTGGTAGCAAGATAGTGTGTTGTCAAAGGACTAGTAGGCGGTAGTGAGTTGTGTGATTGATGTTTGCTTGTATTATGTGATTGCTTGATCCTTGATTGTTTATATGTCGACATATGGTGGTGGGGTTGAGGCGGTATTGCTTTGTGCTGTAGGCCAAGATACCCGGTGCGGGTCGGCTGTAAGCCATAGGCACGGAGGCTCGGGAAGAGCGGTTGGGTTGAGGCGGTAGGCCAATGTTCATGGACCTCATGAACCGGGTGTGTAGGCCCATGTTTGATCGATCAGTGATCGTTTTTATCGATGATATTCTGGTATTCGAAGACTATGGAACGACATGAGGAGCATCTTCGAGAGATTCTTGGGGTTTTGAGCATGGAGAGGCTTTATGCCAAGTTCTCCAAGTGTGATTTCTGGTTGCGCGGGATTTAGTTTTTGGGACACCTTGTGTATCAGAACGGTATCTTGGTCGAACTAGCCAAGATAGAGGCAGTGATGTAGTGGGAGGTGCCAATATCTCCATATGAGATTTGATGCTTCCTCGGATTGGCAGGTTATTATCGGAGATTCATCAAAGACTTCTCCAACATTGTTGTTCCTCTCACCAAGTTGACAAGGAAGGATGTTGCTTTCAGTTGGGGGCCTAAGGAACATACATCGTTTGAGACTCTTCGCTAGAGATTGTGTGAGGCGCCAGCACTTGCCCTCTCTGAGGGAGTCGAGGATTTCATAGTCTATTGTGATGCATCCATTGAAGGATTGGGTGTTGTGTTTATGAGAAAGGGCACGTGATAGCCTACGCTTCGAGGCAGCTGAAGCCTTACGAGGCGAGATATCCCACTCATGATTTGGAGTTGGGGGCGGCGGTTTTCGCCCTCAAGATTTGGCGCCACTATCTCTATGGTGTTCAGTGTACCATCTACACGGACCATAAGAGTCTGAGATACATTATGGATCAGTCTAACTTGAATATGAGGTAAAGGAGGTGGTTGGACGTAGTGAAAGACTATGACTGCGAGATCTTGTATCATTCGGGCAAGGCCAATGTGGTAGCCGATGCCTTGAGCCGGAGGGCGGCAGGTGCCCCGATTAGGGATGTGTGCATGAGGATGATAGTGATGACTCCAGCCTTGGAGATCATCAAGGAAACGTAGTCGAAGGCCATAAAAGAGGACAATCGGAAAAGTGAGCGGGTGATCGGTCAAATTTCGACATTTGATATGGACATTCGATGGCTTCTGACTCTTCATGGGCGGGTATGGGTACCATATGCGGGTGGGGCCCGACGGATTTTGATGGAGGAGGACCATAAATGGAGATTTTCCATCCACCCGGGGGCTACCAACATGTATCTCGACTTGAAGCATAATTAGTGGTGGCCATGTATGAAGAGAGATGTAGCATGGTTTGTGGAACGATGTTTGACCTGCCAGAAGGTCAAGGTTGAGCACCAACGCCCTCATGGCAAGTTGCAGCCTCTGTAGGTTCCCTTATGGAAGTGGGAACATATTACTATGGATTTCATTACAAAGCTACCGAGGACTGCGAGGAATGTTGACACTATCTGGGTGATAGTGGATTGTTTGAAGAAGAGTGCACACTTCTTAGCCATTAGTGAGAACTCTTCTACTGAGAAGTTGGCTGGGATTTACGTTCGAGAGGTGTTAGTTCAGCATGGGGTGCCAACGTCTATTGTGTCTGACCAGGATGTGCGATTTACTTCCAGGTTCTATAAGAGATTTCATGAGGAGTTGGGTACCCGACTACACTTCAGTACCACATACCATACGTAGACGGACGAGCAGAGCGCGCAAACGATTTAGACGCTCGAGGATATATTGCATGCTTGTGTTATAAATTTTGGTAGGAGCTGGGACTCCTATCTTCCGTTGGCTGAGTTCTCGTATAACAACAACCATCATGTCAGTATCGGTATGCCCCCGTTCGAGCTCCTTTATGGTCGAAGATGTGGGACTCCTATTTGTTGGGGCGAGGTGGGGTAGAGGGTCATGGGGAGCACGAAGGTCATGCTCAAGACGATTAAGCTTATACAGCAGGTTCGACAGAGACTATTGACAACGCAAAGTCGTCAGAAGAGTTATGCGGATCGGCGACACTCTAAGTTAGAATTTCAGGTAGGGGATCTAGTGCTCGTGAAGGTATCAACCTGGAAGGGTGTTATCCGATTCAGGAAGCGGGGCAAGATGGGCCCCAGGTTCATTGGCCCTTTTCGAGTTTTGGCTCGTGTGGTCAAGGTGGCCTACCGGTTGGAGCTACCGGAGGAGCTGAGTCAGATCCATGATACCTTCCATGTTTCCCAACTAAGGAAGTGTATAGCCGATGAGGCGGCTGTGGTTCCCTTGGAGGACATTCAGGTCGGTGATCTCCTGAATTATGTGGATAAGCCTATAGCCATTTTAGAGCAGAGAGTGAAAACCTTGAGGAACAAGGTTGTGAACTTGGTCAAAGTTCAGTGGCAACACCGTAGAGGTTCGAAGTGGACGTGGGAACCTGAGTCCGAGATGCGTGAGCAATACCCTGAGCTGTTTCCGGAGGATGAATTTGAGGGCGAAGTCTGATTTTAGTGGGGGAGGTTTGTAACATCCCGAAATAAGGTACATTTTAGCATTCTTTGAATCTTTATCAAAAGTGTCTCATTTGGTCCCTAATAGAAAAAGTTTGCAAAAGAAGTTGTGCGCGGGGCGTACATATGAGTACACTTAGCGTACTCATGCAGCCTGCATGGTCGCGGAGAGCCAACTAGTATGTTGGGAGTATATGTGGTACACTGGGCATATTAGCTCAGATGTAAAACCCTAATTTTAAGGGTTTCCCCTATTTAAGGAACATTATGGCTTCATTTTTAGCCACCCTTATCAGCCTCCAACCCTCCCATGAACCCTAATCTCGTGTGTGTGGCTTGTGTGTGTTATTGA